TATACTATTCTATATCATGTATGTCCTTGTTGGCACAACTGACCACCACTGTCTTTAAAAAAATGTGTTTTAAGGCGCTCGCAACTGCATAAGGTCATATGAATAGGATGCATTTTTATTTGTGTCAGTTTTGTTGAAGGCGCGGGAAACACTAAATATTTTCAGCAGGTAGGAAATTTGGAATTTTGCCCGGCTGGTGGCCGAAGCCTACTCTTATCGATTTTCACGACTGCCTTGATCGTCTCTGTGAGTACAACTGACCACGGTTGTGTACAGCACTACGCCGGAAATTAAGAGCCTCTGAGGGGCCGCATGAATAACTATTAATTTTGTCCGTCAATCTCATAAACAACCTACTTCAGGCTAAAAACGAACCAATTTAACCCTATCCGTACGTCGTGTTTTACTGTCGTATCCATACGCGTGGGGAACTCTGTGCCACCACTTTCCAAAGAGGAAATTCACTCGTTAATCCGATCCGTACGCTTTGCATAGCAGTCTGCCAAAGAGTTTCTTTTTGGAAATACGGACAATTTCAAAGAGATCTTCGTACTAGAAGTATTCTAAAATGTGAAGAATACAACCCCAGGGGTACAAAATGACCCCAGGGAGTACGGATAGGGTTAATTTCGTCCATCCCTCTCATAGACAACCTACTTCAGGCTAGAAACGAACGACCTTAATCTAAAAGAATAATATTATGTGTCGCAGCGCGGTGGAATCAGGTGCTCGTCAATTATGGGGCATCTGGAATTATTGGTATCATCTCAAAGCCTGTTCATTTTACCATCTTTTCATGAAAAAAACCAAAAACACGTCTATTTTGAATAGAAGTCGAGATATTTGCGATCGAAGGAGGTCGGGGTCAGAGGTAAAATTAGAGCCAAAATGGCCGTCAAAGTTTGGTGATTTCCAAAGCTTGAGAGTCCTTAGAAACTACAAATTTACATTTTTCGTGACTTTACTCAACGTTTAATCCACACACAAGAACGTTTTTGAATGGACGCACAAGGTGTTGAGCCAAAAAAACAAAAACTCGATAAAAAATACCAAAACGAACAGAAAAATGCCAGTTTCTTTGACTTCATTATTTTGACGAGCGCCTGATTTCACCACGCTGCCTCACATATTATGGAACCAATTTTTTAAAACAGAACAGAAAATGGGTAACACCTGTTTTTGGTCGTGGGTGGAGTGTGGGTGTTGGGATGGGGGGGTGGGGGGTGTATTCGATACGAAGAAAGTACAAGCTAGTTTTCTGTCACTCACAGATTGGATGAACGAATCCTGCTACAATCCTGCCACCTTCTTTCACTCACAGATTGGGTAAATGAATCCGCTTCAATCCTGCCACCTTCTTTCACTCACAGATTGGGTAAATGAATCCGCTTCAATCCTGCTTCCCTCCTTCTGTCACTCACAGACTGGATGAACGAATGCGCTCCAATTCTGCCTCCTTCTTTCACTCACAAATTGGGTGAAGGAATCCGCTTTAATAATACTGCCACCGTCTGTCACTCACGGAAGAATTAGGTAAACAATCTCTAATAATCTTGAATCAGTCACTTATTCTTTCACTTCTTCTGTCACTCACAGAAAGGAGAATGTACCGATTCTAAGTCCACCTAAAGACCACGAAATCCCTCCATAGTATGAGCAACACTCCTCTTATAGTCCTTCAATAGCCCTCCTTTCATAATCCACGAACAAATTAATAAGCCTCTCGTTCTCTTCGTCTTCTCTCTTCTTCCTCTCACCCACTCCTTCTTCTGTCACTTCCGGTCACTTATGGTCACTTCACTGCCTGTGTTGGTTGACCCCTACGCACTTGAGGTCAGAGATCAAAGGTCAAAGTGTACAAAATCCCCTCTGGTCGGAAATGTGTTCTCAAAGTCTAATCCTGTCGAGCCATCACTTGAGACAAGAGTGTACACTATCTGAAGCTTTTTCTCCTCGAGAGTTTCCACCGCCTTCTGCCTTGATCGCTTACCCTAGACTGATCATTCTACCTTCCGCTAGGTCATTTAAATCCTCACTCACTCTCCTCTCCGAAGAATCCCATCCAAGGTCAAGGACTTCGATTCATCTTCCACTGCAAGGAGAGAGAGAGAGAGAGAGAGAGAGAGAGAGAGAGAGAGAGAGAGAGAGAG